AAAAAAAAAAAAAAAAATTAGAATTGTGGATAAAGCAATGAAGACTTATAATAAAATAATAGCTAATATTTATCAGCCAGGCAATGTTTCAAGCACTTCACACAAATAACTTGTTGAATCTATGGAACATCCCCACATGGGGGATACTACTGTAATTCCCATCAGGAGTTGAGCTAGTCGAGGCATAGAGGGACTGAGTCGCTCACTCAAGTGGCAGAGCCAGGGTTAAATGAGACAGTGTATATGAATTGCTTATCACAGTGCCTGGCACACAATCACCACTCTATAAACGTTAGCTGTCATTATCTTCATTAGTATCACCCTCATCAATGATGGCAAAATTATGACTAATTGTTACCTTCTTCATGCCTATGAGCAATTTCTAATTTTACTATAACGAAAATATTCTATATAAGGGGGAAATATTTTTTTTTTAAATGAGACTCATTTTCTGAATTGAACCTAGTCTCCCCCATTATTCTGACTCTGTCAGGCCTGATGCTGGTCTGGGCAAAATGGATTCATCACCTCAAAGGTGACTTCTTTGGGCACAGCCAGGCCAGACCCTGGGCATCTTATGGCAACACTGGGGTGGCACAGTCTCAACAAAGAATTTGCCATTGCCCTGCAAAGAATATAGTTTGCCTGAACCTTCCACTGCAGCGTCTTTGGGATCTGCCTCAGGCCGGACTGAGTAAGAATGAGACCCTGTCTTTACTAAAAATAGAAAAACTAGCTGGGCATTATGGCAGGCACCTATAGTCCTAGCTACTCAGGAGGCTGGAACAAGAGGATCACTTGAGCCCAAGAGTTTGAGGCTGCTGTGAGCTATGACAACATGGCACTCTATCTAGGGTGACAGAGTTAAGACTCTGTCTAAAGAAAAGAAAATACTACTATAACTTGAGCCAGGTTCAGTGGTGCACCTATAGTCCCAGCTACTCAGGAGGCCAAGGTAGGAAGATTTCTTGAGCCCAGTCCAGGCAATATAACAAGACCCCTGTCCAGAGAGAAAGCAAGAGAGAGAGAGAGAGATTATAATGAATAATGAATACAGTCATATTTCCAATACCCTATTCCCTTTAACAAACCCTTGAAAGTACAAGACTCAGAGATCTAGCTGAATATTTCAAACCTGTGCTGGAAGGGAGATGTTCAGAAGGTTTACCTCTCCTTGGCTTCAAATCCTTCCATGGCTCCCATTGCTCTTAGGACTCATCTTTTATAAAGTGCAAAATCTGGTCCCTGCTGGCACTACCAGTGACCCTTATTGCTTCATACTTAGACACCAGCCAGATTGAACTACTTTTAGTTCTCTAATATCCTATCTCCCCTCTAATCCTTTGTATGTGCTAATTCTTCTCCTCTCCCGTTTCATCTGGTTTTCTCTGCATCCTTCAGGTCTCAGGCCAAATGTTGTATCCTCCAAGAAGTCTTGATTTCTAGACTGGATTGTGTGACCCCTTGGGACTCTGATTGGTACCTTGTATTTTTATTCATTTATTTATTTATTTATTTTTGAGACAGTATCTCTCTATGTTGCCCTTGTTAGAACTGGCATCACAGTTCATGGCAACCTCAAACTCTTGGGCTTAAGCGATTCTCTTGCCTCAGCCTCCCAAGTAGCTGGGACTACAGGTGCCTGCCATAACACCTGGCTATTTGTGTGTGTGTGTGGGGGGGGGGTTGTAGTTGGCATTGTTGTTCAGCTGGCCCAGGCTGGGTTTGAACCCGCCAGCTTCATTGTACGTAGCCGGCACTGTACCCACTGTACTACGGGCACCAAGCCATTAAAACACTTTTCAGACTGGGTTGGAATTATCTGCTTTCATGACTGCTCTCTACTATGCTGCTTCCAGTTCTTTTTCCTAACTGCTGGCCCTGCCTACCAAAACGTGGCTTAGGCCATGGCCAGATTCTTGGCTGGAGACTCACAAGAACAACTGTTTCCCACAGACCTCTCCACGACTCCCCTTCACAATTGCACTGCCACAGATGGATGTGCTTTGTTGCTCAATTGACCAGCAACTCTTCTCTGATCCTCTAAGTCCTCTTCTAACCCTTCACTTCTCATTCCTCCTACAGCTATAATAAGTCCCTTATCCTGGGCACTCACAGTGACTCAGTTCCTCTGGCTAATACACAGTCCAGGGGCAGAGACCATCCATCTTCTTGCTTTGAAAGTAGAGTTATGATTCAGACCCCTATTGAGAGAATTCTACCCCCTGTCTAAAGTAATTAGCTCAGGCATGGACACATGACCCAGTCCTGGCCAATGAAAGCCTGCCCTAGGATTTTCTCTAAAACAGATGGAAAGCAGAAGCAATCTTTGCACAGTGGGTTGCTGAGTTAGATTGGGGGAGGTCTGGAACTGCTGGTGATTATCTTGCTATGACACAGAAAGGACATGTTGGAGAAGGAAGCCAACTGAGAAGGAAGCAGGATGAAGAAAAGGAGAGGTCCAGATGCCGCTGTGCACCTGCGTTCACCTTTGCCTAAGCTCAACCTCCCTCTGGAATTTTTCATTTTGTATAAAGTCAGTATGCATTATTGAGGCTTTGTACATTTCAGTCAAAAGAGTCCTGGCCAATGTGGGTGATTAATAAATATCTTTTTTGTTCTTTTCTTTTTTTTTTTTTTTTTTTTGAGACAGAGCCTCAAGCTGTCCCCCTGGGTAGAGTGTCGTGGCATTACAGCTCACAGCAACCTCCAA